CTGTATTCGATTAACTCTGAATTTGAACTGAGATTGCGTCACTGAATGCATGACTTAAAACTTGCATCGCCATCTCCGATTATAAATGACCAGCCACCTTGCAACTTCAAGCAGGAGGGAACAGCCACCTTGTCCGGTTTCAGCATTTCAGGGATTCTCTGTCTTGGTTATGGACGCGTTGAACTGACGCTTTCATTTTTGTCAAAAATCAGCACGGATTGTTTTCCATTGAAATGCCTGGATTGAATTCCAAAGAAACTGCATGATGAATGAGATGTATGCATCTAGATTGAACTATATTCTACAGCTTCCAAAGATCCACACGTTTCCCGAATTGAAGTAATAACTAAGGTTATCTCTAACCGAGGGCTGGCCAGATGGCTCGTTTTAGCCTTCTGGCCCTCCAAGATTCTTCAAGATTAATATTTTAATGAACAGTACAATGCCATATTTGACTCCGTCTCCAACCGAGGGCCAAAGGGCCAGAGGGCTCGTTTTAGCCAACCGAGGGCCAAATGGCCAAACATAATTTATTATTTAAAAACTACAACTAAAATGTTATTTAAGTTTCATGTTGTATAATTTTTATGTTGATTAATGTTATTTAATGTTGTTTCATATTGTTTAATGTTGTTTCATGTTACTTAATTTAATTTAATGTTGTATAATGGCTTAGGAAGTTATAGGAAAAAAATAGAATTTAAAAAAAATATGAAACAAATTTTGTCAAATAAAGTTATAGGAAAAAAAATGGAATTTAAAAAAAAATGATATAAATTTTGTGAAATAGAAGTTATAGGAAAAAAATGGAATTTAAAAAAAATATGAAATAAATTTTGTGAAATAGAAGTTATAAGAAAAAAAAAATATGTAACAAATTTTGTGAAATAGAAGTTATAGGGAAAATGACACGCCCCGACCGTAGTCAAGGAATGCTGGCCGTCACGTGAACGTGACGTAGCCATGTGCGCTGTGCGGAAGCGTTATATTATAAGGAAAATACGAATAAATTAAAACCAAATACGATAGGTTCTAATTTGCGTTTAAGTGTGATTACATAACCAGAGCATAAAGTCTAAGTGCAGTCAAACATAAAATGTACGTATTTAACAACACTCGACGATGATCCTACATGAGTGGTGATTTGTCAGAACTTTCAGCTGGACACCTCGAGATTCACTGATGAACGTTATCTAAAACCTGGAGGGGCGCAAAACAAAGTTGAGTGGGTCAGCAAAACGAACTTATTTCGAAACCTTCTTTTCTCTTTTGAATATACTAACCCCTCGCTGTAAAACAAGTATAAGTTTCCCAATAATAAAGTATATATATTCATATACATAATATATATCAAATCATGCTGAATAATATGAACGTATGCCATGCCAAAGTATCATAATAGAATGCTCAACATTTCTAAGTGAATATGATAGAATAACATAAAAGCCAATTCAACGCTCAGCTATCAACATAATTCGTATTCTTTCATCATAATCAACTTATCATAAATTAAACTCAGCCCTCGGCTGCCCTATATAGCTCATAATCATCTCATCATATCATGTATAAATCTGTATATCTTGTACACATTCAGTACCACCTCACGTGGTCTGCATCTCATCACTGTATATATCATAATATGCTCTAGTGCTACAATCACGTGAAGCTGTGCGATAAATCGCGGGTCACCTACAAGTCGAACCCACATAAGTGGTCTATACGACAGGCTATACACCTACTTGGATCCAAGGCGAGCATGCGGTGTGGGAGGTGAACATACACGTGAAGGCTATGCCTCTCTCTAGGCGGGAGCACTTATATACGTGTGCAAGTAAATGAGCTTTCTATCACATCTCAATCATATAACTCAACATATCTCAACCATATCTCATCACATTTCATACATATCTCAATCACATTTCATACATATCTCAATCACATTTCATACATATCTCAATCACGTTTCATGCGTATTTCAATTGTATATTATACATATATCAAATGCATATCGTACGTATTTCAAATGTATATTATACGTATTTTTATACGTATTTCAAATGTATATAAAATGTATCTAATACGTATGTCAATTGTATTTCAATAATATTCAAACGTATCTTAATCGTATTTCCATAGTATTTCATTCATTTTCAACATAATATGTCACATGTAACGTACCTGGGCCTTCTCAGCACCATGCAACAATATGTATAATTATGGTAATGCACATATCAAAATATAATGCATATTTGACAAGTTATTTAATTCGTATTTATATTTAAAATACGTTTTCTAGGAAACACGTCAAGTATACTTATATATATACTGAAAAATAACTGCCCACTCACTGATAAGTAGCCGGTTCGTAACCCCCTCGCCTATTTTGGTTACGTTCTTCGTCCGTATAATTTTCACCTATACAAAAATAATTATAAAACATTATTTAATATGCACATACACAAACATACGTCAATAACTTCTCATACGTTGCTCAATTTGGGTATGTGAATATACCACGGTGACTTACTCGACGTCACGAATACGTACATAATTTTAATTAATTTTTTATTGGCTCACGCGCCCCCACGCGCCGTGGGTGGCACTGACCTACGCGCGGCCCACGCGCAGGGAATCCTGACGGAAACCTAACGGCGTCAGGAATATTCCGTTAAACATAACGGAATATTCTGTCTTCTTCTCCGACGGTCCTCGCCGGACTCCGGTCGCCGGAAAAACTGGGAAATTTTCATTTCGCCTATTCTCACTCGTTTTTGGTCCATTTTCTTCGAATTTTATACCAATTTAAAGCCCTCAACCTATAGAATCACGTTGGACTAGTTTTAGGGTCTAAAAACAACGAGATTTTACCTTCCAGAATTTCTCAAAATCGGCCAAACTCGAACTGGGTGATCCTGACGTCCAAAACTTCCCAACGTTACACTCCGAGCATCCTTGGGACCTTCTAAGACTCAATGTGATCTTTGTTTAGCCTAAAACATAGCCATAATAAAGTTTATGAACAGTACATAAACACGGGACCTTTGAAACTAGAGTTTTTCGAAACGAAACTCACCTGAATTTGGTATCCCCGTGTTCGTGAAGTTCTCAGGATCACGATGGTGGTCTTAGATCCAACGTTCGTACAAGTTTGATTGAGTTTTTGTGTGTGTGTTGCTTACGGGTTCGAGAGGGAGAGTTAGAGAGAGAGAGAGAGACTGTCGAGGGATAGAGAGAGAGAGAGTTTCAGGTTCGTGTGAGGGAATGACGATGAGTGAAGGTATTATTAAGGGAGGCAGTGGAGCACTTCACGGAAAGGAAATGGAAATGGAATCGGACGTGTGATCCATTCCTTAGCCTTTAATCATTCAACATATAAAATAGCCGTCCAAACCTTAAACAATTGTATAAGGATTTAGGGTATTTAACACACTGTATACATATGACACGTTAAATCGGGACGGGTTGTCACAGAAAAAATGGAATTTAAAAAAAATATGAACCAAATTTTGTGAAATAGAAGTTATAGGAAAAAAATGGAATTTAAAAAAAAATATGAACCAAATTTTGTGAAATAGAAATTATAGGAAAAAATAGAAGTTATATGAAAATTTTTGTAAATAAAAAAAAAATGTAAAAAAATAAAAAATAAAATAAAATGCAAAGGCTAGTAGTCGTTTCATTTGAATTTTTTTTAAAAAAAAATCCTGTCCGTTATAACCCACAGGAATACACCATTATTTAGTATATTAAATAATAGTATGTATTCCTGTCGGTTATAACCGACAGTAATAACAAAACTATAAAAAAAAAAAAATAGCCAACCCGGGGCTGGCTGGCTGGCAGAAAGCAGCCAGCCCTTTGGCCCTTTGGTCCTTTGGCCCTTTGAAATTCTGTGGGGCCCTCCCAGATTCTCGAGCCCTCTGGCCTAGCCCTCGGTTAGAGACGGTTTTAGGGCTATTTTCGGCCCTCTGGCCCTCTGGACCATTCGGTTGGAGATGGCCTAACATAGATCGTAGGAACCTGCAATTTGATCTTCAATTATGTTCTATCGATGGCAAATACAAAGTTCCAAGACTTAATCGAATGAAAGAGGAGTGCCTCATCCTACGGGGAATTTGGTTATTCTCAGTTTTTGAAGGGAAGGAAATTTCCGTAGAGGTGGAAGACCTTAATAGCTCAGCCAACAAGAAACAGTAAGGATTCTTAGATAACTGAAAGTGGAGTGCCTCATCCAACAGGGACCCAGAAAGTCCGATTCAGATGCATAAACCAAATTTCAAATTGCCTATGCTAGGGCATATGGATAGAAAGCATATTAGTGCTCTATTCACTAATCGAACTAGATTTCCATACCCCAAACAAAATAGGTGTCAAATTTCAATTACAAATTCCGGTGGTTCCAGTGCAAGATTCCAATTCCAATGATAGCATAGAACTTCCAACAAACTAATAGAAAATCCAAAGTTCTCTAATAGCTCGAGTGGTTATCAGTCCAAGCACTTGAGTGATCGTCACATAAACTCCAAAACAGGCAAACAATCCATGTGGCTTAAAAAACTCCAAACCATTGCAAATATCATCCCTAACTTATTCACTTATTATGTGTGGAGTTGTATAGTGAAATTATGCGTCGAATCTTCCATTAAGTTGTATATCATTTTGTTATATTTTCGATATAAAACTCTGTTATCTAACACTCACCGTCAGCCTGATATATAGAGGTCATGCTGACGTCAGTCATATTGCCTCTGGGCTGAAGCTCGTGCAAGATGAGGCTGGGCTCCTGCCTCGGGCCCAATGATCCTCTTTGTAATGTTAGTACAGTTTATTGATGTAAAAATTATTTTAATTTAAAAAAAACAAAAGAAGCGAATGGGTTGGAGTGAAGTAAGTGTAGATTGGACTGGACTAGTCCGAAGACCATCCGACAAGAAAATTTGGCGGGAGGGGGAGGCAGGCAAAGTTAAGAGAGGGAGAGAGGCACAGTTAAAGTTTAGGGTCTCATCGTGATTCGTGCAAATCCTAAAACCCTCCTTAAACCCCCGGAACACACCACTCACATCGCACAAACACAAAACACCTTGGTCCAATAAAAATACTCTCTCTCTCTCTCTCTCTCTCTCTCAAATACTTTAGAGGGAGAGAGAGGAATCAAATCAAGGGAAAAAAAGACAAAAGGACGCAATGATGGTAGTTGCTGCTGCAGCTCCAACCCAAGCGGCTCCTCATGGCTCTTGTCCCTCGTGCCGGAGGCACATCTCATCGGAGATTCGTTTCCACTCCTTAACGAGGTAAACTGTTTTTTGGGTTTCTGTTTTTGAGTTATTGCATATGTATATATATATGTATGTATGTACGTATATTCCGCCGTTTTGGGTTGCATTGAATCACCCGAGAGGCAAAGTTTCAAACTTTAATTCGGCGACATTGGTGCTGGTGGGTTGAATTGAGTATAGGGTTTTACTATCTGGTCCCAAATGATGATTTGTTTTGTTTCCCTTTTTCTTATCGAATCTTCTCATTTTATGAAAGAAAAGAATGAAAGATTGGATCTTTTGCTATTAGAAATTTTCATTTCAAGAAAGCTTCTCTCTTGTTCCATGTGTTGATTTGGGTGCTTAGGCGGAAAATGATTTCCGCACTCCCTTTTCCTCCCGTTGGATTGAAATCAAATGAAAATTAAGGGACAAAAGCAAGTGCAGAAGGAGAAAACGGGAGTGCGGAGGTTATTTCCAAATCCTTGAATGCTGAGTAAGTGTTGCATTTTCTGAAATTCTTGGTGTTTGATACTTTTTTTTGCAGCACCATTCCAAGTATTACAAATCGTTGTTGTATGAGTTGGGGGTTTATTTGGCGTTACGGTTGTTAATTTTCGTTTCATCTCTATTAACGTAAGAGTCGATCCTTCATTGTTGGTCTCTGAATGGTTTGAGAGAGATAAGTTATACAGTTTGTAAGGTACAAAAACATGTATTGTTTAGGGAAGATAGAACCCTTTGCTTTCAATTCAAAACTCTACGACAACTATACTTACGAAGAACTTTAGGAAACAGAGAAACTTTGCCTCTAGTGAGTGTCCGAGTGATTTTCAAACACGGCGGGAAGGAGCAATGGAAATTAGTATTTGCACCGAGGACATTTGATGATACAAATAGTTCTGAAACATTAGGGAAGAGAAAATCACTTGTAAGACTAGAATTAATTGCCTTGGTAAATGCGTCCTTGCAAACAGTCTTGAATTTTATGTGATGGACTGTGGTGTGGTAGATAAATAATTGCAAGAAGTGCTGTTGTTTAGTCTGTTTCCCGGACGCGGTTTTTGGTACTGGGAAAATGGCACAGGATCAGAAATTTAATCTTGGACTAAAAGGTCTGTCAGGGTTCAAGAGAAACAGAAGGTTGTGGCTGGCAATAAAGGATCGTTTCTGTGATGAGGTCTTTGATTAATCTTGACAAAGTTTGTCAGGCTTCAGTAATTGCTTCTCTGTTGGGACTACTATTTTACTATTCCGGATGCCCCAACACAGAAGCAGTTTTGCTCCATTTATGTTTTTGAAGTTATCCATAGGCTGATAGAAATGAAGGAAAGGAAGATGAGGTTAAGTTTACAAGGGCCACACTTGAATTTCGAAAAGTTGGAGTGGGAATTTTAAAGTCTTTGTTCTTTTGCCAGTCTCACTTCCTCTGTTCTCATTGCGTGATTATGTAGTTTGTAGGGGAATGTGAAATGTTAGGCCTTAAGTCACGACTATTGAAACTTACGAAGAATTAAAAACAATGTTCCTCCAAGGTTACTTTTGAATACTGAGTTGTGAGTAAGAAACTAGACCGCCACAAATCTGAGATATGGATGTTTCAAACCTTAGAGTAATTTCGTGAAACATGTGGTAGTTATGTTTTAAGGGAATAGTGCTTTGTGACCCTCTGTGCTTTTGGTTTAGAATTTCAAATTATCTGCAAGGGATCATCGTTCCCCTCTTAAGTCTAGATGAAAAATTGGTTTTAAGGCATTTGCATATTCAACCGTTGAAGGGGCTGCAGATTGTGGTTTTGTTAAATTTGAGTAGTTACTACTATTTTGTTGATGGTAACTGAAATTTTCCTCTTATTGAATCCTTTTGTCTTCAATGGCAGAGGGAGCAGTGATGCTTGCTTGAGGGACTTCGCACTGTTCAAGTTTCACGCAGGAGTGAAATCGCTGTTCTGCACATTGCTGCTGGAGTACATTAACCGTTAAGCAGTGTGTGGAGTAGGGAATGAAGCTGTTGGTCCGTTGAGCATTTAAAAAAATGTTACAACTTGATATCTCTTGCTCAAGAATTCGCAGATCTTGACATGTATTTTGGATTGTCGTCATTGTACTAGAACTCCATGGTCATTCTTTATGCTGATTCTGCAATTGCATCTGCTACGATTAATCTAATCTTTAATTTAATTTTCTCATTCAGAGTTGTCATTTGCTAAGTTGGAACGTACCAACCTGTTAATTTCAGTGATGGCCAAGAAAGTTTTGCTTTGATTTCGTTTTGCGATGAGATGTCTTGTAAATCATGAAATAGGATTGTTGAACCCGGTTTATTTATTTTTATTTTTTTCCGGAAATGAAAAACCTGGGAGATGCCAAATCTAAAGTCGAAGACATGAGAAAGTCTAGCAGATTAAGATGAAACAGATGGGTAGAAGCAGGAGAAAGCAGAAAATATAGACTGGTAACTGGCATTTATGTTAATGCTTATGTAAAGTCTGGTAGTGGAACAGTTAATCCTCTGAATGCAGAAGCAAAAGCACATATATGGTCAAAGGATGACATGTTTTTGTTTTCGTTACATAAATGAGCTTACAGACAGATTGAGTGTAGAAGTTGAAGTTTGGAGCCTTTTTATGCAAAAGCAGAAGCCCCTTGGGAAATTTAGTCGTTGACTGTGCAGGTTTGCTGCTGGTGTATGTGGTCCTCTCTCTGCTGCTTGCACAACTGGAAACTCGTGAGTTTACTCGGAACTAGCCTGGTTTGGTCCTTAGGTATCAGACTCCCCACAAATAGGTATCGGGTATTGCACTCCTTACAAATATGCATTGCACTCGTGGATCAGTGAGTCGAATCTAAGACCCCCAATCACGTGGATACATCTAACCACATCGTTTGTGGATCATAAATGTCATTGAATGCATGGAAAAGATACTGTGAAGTTTCAATGTCTATTTCTAAATTTTCACTAAAGTTTCAAATAAAGAATAGAAAAACAATGGAGAAGGAAGAAAATAAGAATTAATTTGATGTTAGAGAGATTACATAGTAAGCAAGCTGACATGAATTCATGATTATACCCATTTAGGTATGAAGAAGTTGGCTATTTGTCCAACATCATGCCTGCTTATGTTCGAGTTCGAAGCAGGTTGAATTCTTTTCAAGTGAGAATCTGATGTAAGACAAGATGGGGTAAAATATGGGGGAGAAAATTTAGAAAATAAATAAATAAAGATTTGTTCGTTAACGTTTTGCAAAACAGTTTTTGGTTTTGCAGATACAAAAATGGTGAAAAATAGATTACTGTTTTGTGAAAATAGATTACTATTTGTGAAAATAAACTAATAAAACGAAAAATGTAGAAACCAATATTTAGCTTAAATTCTGTAGAACATTGCCACTCACCACCATCGCCACATTCTCCACCCTATAACCCTCACAATCGCCACCGCAACCACCATCATCCCCACCTCCCACCATCCCCACCACCATTTTACAGAGGTAGAATTTTGTGATATACTAGTATGATTACCCAATTTAATATATAGAAATATGTTTAATATAAAAACAATGAACAAAATATATCCAAAACTAGCAACAAAATATAAAAGTTGATAACAAATTACATAATTTGAGTAAATAAATTGGAAGTTTTTTTATTTTTATTCAGAATAAGTTCGGAACACTTGGAAAAAATTTGGATTGAAAATTTGGAACTGCTAAATGCATTCCAATTTCTGTTCAAATTATTCGAAAAATATTTGGAACTATTATTAGCATTTCAAAAATTTCATTTTTACCTCCCTCATGACCACGCCAGCCTTCGCTACATCACCATCGTCTTCCATGTCCATTTCTACGGGACTCCCTCATCAGCGTTTATTATCTATCAAGCCTTCAATCTTTCTCTCAGCAACTACCATCTTCCTCCCTGATCACTTATATACTCATTCCCATATCCAATCCGAACCCTAGGCAGGGGATGTGTTTTGGAGTTTGGGAATTTGCCCACTGTAGAAATTAACTCACCTGTAGCAGATTACGTTGCATGTGCCACCATAACGAATAGGGCCGGCTACAACGATCTAGGTATTGAACTCATCACAATATGTATATATCTTACTTACGTTCTTGTTTGTCTCCACCCATTGGAGACAAACTTGCCACCTCATTTGTGGATAATACTTTTGAAATATCTCACATCGACCGTATCAATAAGAAAAGAAGAGTTTAATATCATAACCCTACTCCAACTAAAACCGAGGCCTTTTGTGATAAAACTCCACACTTGACGGATTTGTAAGTGGTAATTACCAAGTTGATGACAATATAGATGTTGTTGGAAGTGGGCCCTTAGCCCGTCTCTCTGCCAATATTTAGAAGAAGATAAATTTCTTCTGCCATGAAGATGAGAAAAAAGGAGGAAAAAAAGAGATATTTGGTGGTTGGGGCTTTCGAAAAGAGATGTTAGTTTCAGTTGGGCTTTTGAAAAGAGACGTTAGTTTTAGTTGGGCTTTCAAAAAGATTAGCGTTTGTTCCAACTGAATTTTCGAAAAGAGGTGTTGGTTCCAACATATCAAAAGATTTATTTATCGGGCTTTCGAAAAAAGATGTTAGTTCTAATTGGGCTTTCGAGAAGGGGATGTTGGAAAATAGAAAGGAAAGTATTTTAGGATTTGATTTAAGAGTAAATTGTAGCAATGGTCCCTCAACTTTAATCAAATTGGAGCAATGGTCCCTCAACTAAAAATCTATTACCATTGGTTCCTCAACTCATCAAAATGTGTAGCTATGGTCATTTTCGTCAATTTCGTCAGAATTTTGTCAAAATAAGTTATGTTGGAATAACCATTGCTACAATTGGGGTCCCTCAACTAATCAAGACGTTTAGCTATGGTCATTGTCGTCAACTTCATCAAAATTTTGTCAAAATGAGTTATATTGGAAGAACCATTGCTACAATTGGGTTAAAGTTTGAGGGACCATTGCTCCAATTGAACTAAAGTTGAGAGATCATTTCTCCAGTTAGATTAAAGTTGAGAGACCAATGGTAATGGATTTTTAGTTAAGGGACCATAGATGCACGTTTTGATGAGTTGAGGGACCAACGGTAATGGATTTTTAGTTGAGGGACCATTGCTCCAATTGAGTTAAAAGTTAAGAGACCATTGCTACAATTTACTCTTGATTTAATTAGTGATTTTATATGATTTAATTAGGGTTTTGATATGATTTAATTTGTTCTAGGTTTCCTTGTCTTGTAGACAAAGGATTGTTTTGATTTATTTCCTAGTATTGCTCCTTTGTAATCTTATAAATACCTCCTTATGGAGAAGAATAAATCATTGAAGTAGTATTTTGAGAAAAAAATTGGTATTAAAGCCAGGGAGCGGGCTTGTACTGTACTGCCACGTGATGGGTGGGTCCCCTTGGCCCCGCGTGATGATGGTGGGTCCCTTGGTCCCGCGTGTAGGGTGAGTCCCCTTGACTCCACTTGGTTGTCGATGTGTAGATCTCCCACGTATAACCCACTAATTGGGTCCCACGTGAGGAGGCGTGTTGAAATGTCCCACATCGACCGTATCAATGAGAAAAGAAGAGTTTAAATATCTTAATCCCACACTAACACTGAAGCCTTTTGTGATAAAACCCTACACCTGACGGATTGTGCATGTGATAATTATCAAGTTGAGAACAATATCGGTGTTGTTGGAAGTGGGCCTTTGGCCCGTCTCTTTGATAATTCTACAAATACATGTCAATGAATGCATGAGATAGCTATTTTCAAACTTCAAAGGCCAAAGCTTTCTTCATGCAACATTGTTACTGTTTTGTCCTGACTATATTTTTGTAATCCCATGGGAAGAATTAATTAGATGTTAGAGAGTTTTGTTTTTGTGGTCAAGTAGATATATTAGAGAGATTAGATAAGTTGCACAAAGAAAGAAAGAACACGGAATGTGGGATCATTTGGCACTGCTTTCCCTAGAAGCCTTAGATTCTTGAATGCTTGCATTCGCGAGGGAGACCTTTGTTGAACTTAATACGGTCAGTGCAGTAGTCATAGACCATGAACTTGCTCTGCACCCATCGAAGCCTGTTTCGCTCTGCAGCATTGAGCCCTTGGTTCTTCCATGAAGAGCCGACTGCTGATCTTTCCGTAGATGTGGACGTACAAGATGGTCCTTGTGACCCAGGGCAAGCGTTGATGTTGAAGTTTCTGTAAGAGGCAGTGAAAGGAGCTAGGCTCCAGTCAGTCTTCACACGCCCACCTTGTGTTGCCCAGTCATCGGCATTCCAAAAGGTTGCATAAATCCCCATGGATTGGTTTTTAGGGAATGGAAGACCAATTGATTCCAAGTTGTTGAACACTCTAATTGGACTGTCATCTACCAAGAATCTGCATGACAGTTGCATATGAGTTCAAGGTGAGTGCAATAAAATTATGGGTAAAGACCAATAACGAGTACCAACCTACAATACTTGGTAATTAGTCGATATTCGGTTAATATTTTGTATATAACCTCAAGTTTATAAACTATTGTAGACTGGTATTTGGTACCACCAATTAAATTTTTTCTAAATTCTAGTAGAGATGGACTAATTCGGGCCGACCTTTGTTAGAGACGTGGTTTACAAATGTGGTCAGGATTATGATATGTGTCGTTGAGTGGTACTTACATAATGCGCTTGGTGTTCCAAACAATGGAGTAGGTGTGGAAGTCCTGAGTGGGATCGAACCACAGATGGAATTGTTGTTCCTTGAGCCCTTGTCCTTGGGCGTAGACATTAGTATGGATAGTGTAGGGTTCCCCAGTTGAGTTCCCCAGAAACTCAAAGTCAATCTCATCATGATTTGCACCTGAAGAAGATAACTGCATATGCATGCATGCATATGTTTCAACAATTAGCAATGCACAAGCAATATTTATGAAAATACCTATCAAATAAAACTAGGACCAAATTTTTTTTTTAGGGCTAGGGATTGAGAGTTGTTACGTAAAATGTTGTCACGGTACCAGCTGAGTTCCCAGGTTGCAACTTGATTTGCATATCAAACTTTCCAAATAAGTACGCATTCTTTGATTTGAAACCTGCTCCAGAAGATTTGTCAAGTGCGAGTGTGATAATTTGTCCATTTTCGAGAACCTTAGCGTGTTGATCGCCGAACATAACCTCATAGTCTTGATAGAAATTACCGGCTGAGGCAACGACGGCCACCAGAGAAATTGTGATCGAACAAAGAAAAAACAACATCGAGACCTTAGAAGAAGACATTTTTATTTGAAGAATTTTGTATAGGACTCAAAACTCAAATTGACGTTGGTTAGGATAATTTGGAAAAACAAGACTTTGAAAACTACTCAGAAACAGAAATTATCAGAAAATGAGGAAATAATGTTGTTACAAAGTTTCTCTTCAATGGACAACAATTCCCTATCAGAGAAAAAGCAATTTTTAAAGGTAATCTAGATTTTCATTTAAAAAGTAAAACTAAGAATACAATCTAAATTAATCTTCAGATTGTATCTCAGTTCGTAAAAATTGTTTCCGAAACACAAAATGTTGCTTATAAATTGTAGGCAGAGTGGTATGCTGCGTTTGAATAGATCATGCTGTATTTAGAATATTGAGATTGAATGTCCAAATTAACGAGGTTTCCCATTGCAAATTGGGATTGTGGCCATGCGACAAACTAGCTACATATTTTTTGGATGATGCTGTTGTTATTAGTCTATCTGAATGAATGGGATTGTTATATCAAAACTAAGACTTCCCCTGATCATCATAAATTTTGCCCTTATGACTATATTTAGGATACTAATTAGTAACTGTTGGGATCTTGACGAGATAATGCAAACACTGTTGACCGATTAATCAAAGAGGTCGATATAGAGTCAAGGAGTTCTCGTAAAAAATTGGAATGACATGACACAACTGAATTACAACTCGTAAACCTAACCATGGCACATGATAGGAGGGTTGTTGCATGTGCTTATAAGTAGTTGAGTTATTTCTTATATTGTCAATTGATTTTATAATGGAACCTCAACTTTCATCATGATACAACCTCTCCACACACCATCAACTCTCAACACGTCCCTGCACATGTAGCTGATTTTCCAACCTACACATGGACAACAAGTGGGTGACGCATGGAACACTTGTGGCCTTTTGGGTTTTCACACAAGGGACAACTTGCTATGATATTATGATGAAATTGAGGTTCCATCATAAAATTAATTGATAATATGAAAAGTAGTCCAAGATTATATAAACCCTTAGCTGAAGTTTATAAGGAGTTGAGTTACTACCTCATATTGCCAATAATTTTAGGGTAATGTTAGAGAAATTAAAATTTTTAAACCAAATTTGCAAATCAAATGATGTGGTTGTAGATGATTGAATTATTAACTAAGTGTCAATTAATGTACTTATTTCTTATTGGTGACACATAATTTGGTTTAAAATTTTGGTCCCAACTTTCTTTAGAAAGAATATATATTACATGAATTGGCAATGCAAGCAGTGGCGGATGCATTGAGGGGCAGGGGGTCAGATGACCCCCCAAACTTCGGTGAACATCCATGGATACTTGGGTGTTGACCCTCCGAATTTCGGTAAATGTCCATGGATACCTTGGGTGCTGCCCTTTTGAAGATTAGAGTTGGCTTCATACATGCCCTCCAACTGTTTGATAAAATGTCTAAAAGAAGAGTGAATGAAATGGTGATCTCAGTGAATAACAAAGCATCGTCATTTTTGGACAAACATATTAATGAGATGCAATGATATCAAACATTGTTAGTGTGTTCAAGATAAGTGTGTTTCTTTGTTAAACATTCATATGGGAGCAGCCTTGGAACATATTAGTTACCCTCATAAATGAGGCATTAACAGGTGTGCAGTACGCCATTCCAAATGACTTCAGACCTACCAAGATTCGATGAAATGACGATACATGCTATTTTTGGTAAAAAAAAAATTGCGCGCTGCGCGTGCTATTCTTATTGACCCTTATAATATTATTTCATGGATCCGCCACTAAATACAAGAAAATGAATTCTCTACATGAGAGCATGGGATATGATCATCGGGGTTCTGGTCTCGCTTTCAAACTAGAACCTTGGTTGCTTGCTTCCAGTTAGTCTTGACAAGGCCGCCTCTTGTTGCCCAGTCATCTGCATTCCCCAAACTGGAGTAAATCCTCAAGGGTTGGTTTTTAGGGAATGGGACTTCAGCTGATTCCAAATTGCGGAACACTCTGATTGGAATCTTGTCCACCAAGAATCTACGTAACATTTGCACAGTTATTAAAAAGTTGTTTATCCATACGTAACTGTCCAACATATTAACCATATAGATTTGGATTAGATTGAGTGTGTTAAATTTGGATTAGATTGAGTTTGTTGAAAAACAGTTAGAGTTAGAGTTTGTTGAAAGGGTAAAAGTGTAAATCTGCTCATTATAGTTTCTATATAAGCCTTGTTTAGAGACTTAGAGCAGTATCATGTAATCATAAAGCTTTCTACTATTCATTGAAAACAGAAACGTCTATCTCTCTCTTTCTTACTACTTGTTCTTCATTTTCTTTAGTCTCAAGATTTCATTGATTCTTTAGAGTTAATATGGTATCATCGCCGGCATTGGCTCACTGTCGTTGTCGATCCTAGGTCTTCCGCTGTTGCAATTCATAATCGAAGAGTCGCTGAGGATTTCGCCGTGAGTGAAGTTCTGGAGATTTGGGGTGTTCTTCATCACAAGCATCAATTCAGGTGATATTGTGTTTGTTTTTCTACTGGGTAATTGGGTTTCAGTCCTGATTAGCTGTTCAAAGATTTCCAAATGTTGTGTGTTTGATTCCGAATTCTTGTGTTTGCTTACTATGGGAGTTTCAGTCTCTCTTGATTCATAAGAAAGTTTCAGTCTTTTGCTGTTTACTGACGGGAGGTCATTTTCTCTCTTGCACCGCGGCTGGCGCGCGCGGAGAGGGGCAAGGTTGAATGGGAGGGCGTGGGTGTCAGCCTGTTTGTCAGTCATACGGCAGCCACACCGCGTGACTATTTCACTCGCACTCAGGGTTAAAAAGGAAGAAATCGCTCTTTTGTTGATTGTGCATCCGATATGCCATGGTGGTGAGAGGTTAAGGTTTTCTTCAACTTAGGGTCTTCCCCTTGTCCGAGTATAGGTTGTGTAAACCGAAACTTTTGTTTGTCTTTGACTTTGAAGGGGGCCTGCACATCGAAGATGCCTCCTGTGTGAGAATGGCCAAGCTAGGTGGTCGGCTTTCGGAGTTTATCTCCGCGCTCTCGAAAACTTGGTATACGGTTCGCCCTCTAAAGTGGTGGAGCGTGGATACGAGAGCAAGCAGCTCTCGGACTATAAGGGTGACTTGTCAGTGGTGACATTTTCAGGTATCTCACCTCTAGCCACCTGGGAGAACTCTTACATTTCGTAATCTCTATCAGTGCGTGCGTCTTCACTAGTGAAATAGGTTTTGCTGCGAATCTACGGAGTGCGTCATGTTATTTTCTTGACTGACTCGCAGTCCTCACTCCTGTTATCTTGTGCAATTTCTCAAGTCCGTCTCGCTCTCAATCAATCACTCGGTCCTAACTGCATGATGTCCTGTCCTGATACGTGTACCCGTTTATATTCATCGGACCTCCTCGTAGTAGTCATTGTTGTACGTGGCTCATTTCCAAAATAACTACCTATTGTTGCAACCTGGCTCTCCTGAGAGGCGCTATGGTGGAGATGGCGACATTCATGTTTATCCTTTCAGAATAAATATACCACCCCTCTTCGTTTGCATGGTCTATAATTTTTGAATTCTTTGTCCGAGACTAGATAATGTTGCGATGGTGATTGCTCTCTCTCAGGACGTTGCTTTTTTAAGGAAGTCTTGCTCGATGAGCACTTGATATGAGGCTCAGATTAGTTCATTAATATAAGCGAAGCGACTTCTTGTGAGTCCATTGTCTCACCCGGTCATCTGTTATATGTTAGAATTGCAATGTAGTGTCTTTCCCGTGCCACTTACTCAGTATAGTTGTCTTATCAGATGGATCGATATACATAGCTGTGCTCAAGTGAGTTATAGAGTACGAGTGCTTTTACTCATGTAGAGTATATATATAGATATATGATTTTATAATATGATCATATTAGGCGTCCTTTTAAAATCTTCTCTCGTCGAGGTGATTACCCGATGATTACTTTCTGGAAACATTGTATACGGTGTGGTAATCCCTTCGATAACTGGTCTCGGGTAGGAGAATTATCTACTCCTTTTTTTGACATATAAACAGTTTTGTTTTCACCAAAGAGGCCATTATTGACTTTCGCTTGAGGCTCCATTCACCTTTTTTGTGTTAGTTTTCCGACCCTATCATCAAGATATGCCGTGCTTCGTCTGACTCATCGATTAGCATGTGACAAGAGATACATGTTGTGCTTGACTCAATATTGCGTACATGTCTGCGCGCGTCGATTTTTTATAAGTCATATTCTATTCTGCTCTGTTCGTACTTATGTGTCTATCACTCAGTGTGGTGTTAGTCTTTGTAGTCATTCCTCCTTAGAGAGGCGCGGTGTAGACATATGCTTGTACTCTTCGCTCTCTGTACCTCATTCGTCTCTCCTGCGTGTCTATCTCCTCTCTCGATGTCGATCTTACCTTCAAGCAATGTCATGTGGGGAATGTTGTAAAAATTCTTCCTGGCGCTAATTGATCTACTATTCAAATTGGAGAAGGAGCATAGTATCTATTATGCGTAGATGCTGCATATCCGTTTTATAGTGCTTCGTTGAATGGTCTATCCATATGCTAGTAGCTCAACCTCCAGTGCTTTTTGGACGATATATGATTGGCACTGCTTGTCGATCCACAGCCGCGTAGATATTAACTGCTCTCATCTCTCGAGAATGTCTAACTTTGCACTACCTAGAACTCGGCAATATTGTAGAAATAATCAGTGGGAAGATGCCCTTGAGACAAAGTCTGCATTGTTAAGTATGCAGTCCTTTATTAAGCGAGCTAGAGATAATTAAAGGATCTGTATGAGGTTGTCCCCTCAACATTTGATGTGATCTCAATAGTGTGTCTGTATGTGGGCCCGTGAGATATATCAAATAGACTGGCGTTGTTTCTTGGTGTCGAAATACACTATGACTGAGTAAGCGTGTTAAGATTTTGTTTGGACCCTTTCCGCAGTAGGTACTTGCCTCTGGTCACTAGTGTGTGATAAGTAATGTAATTAAGAATCGTAAGAATGAGAGTGAATACAATCGGAATTAGCCTCAAAAACACGAGAATCTGATTGTGCTAAACGACTAGAGTCAGTAATACAGGCGACGGCGTATTCCGGGATTTACGGTTTCAAGGCATATATGTTAAGGTTTTTAAAGAAATATGCTACGTATTAATGGTGAATGCAGTAAGAGTGTCTTGACCAATGAAGGAGTAACTATATATGTCTTCGAATACTGTCACTGATAATGGTGTGATAATGTGCTGGGTTAGCTGGGTTACCAAAAGATTTGCCATCAATTCGTACATAAGTAGTACATAATGAATAATTAGCTAAAGACAAAGTGTACCATATACTTTTCTTTTGAAAGTAATTTGTAGGGGCATTGAGATGTTGCTTGGAGAGCTAAGTCAATCAATTATTATGAGAAGAAATAGAAGGTTT